TATATATACACATAAAATAACAAATGGAAAAACATGAATACTTAAATATATTACTTATGTTTTTCATTTATATTAAAATAAAAATATCATCCTAATAAAAGGAAATTTAAAAAAAAAATGAAAAAATGAAAGAACATGAAAAAAAATATTTTTTATTATTTTAAAAGTACATATTATATTAAATATTTGATTATTTATTCATGCTCATAAGTATTTTTGAGTATTTAAAAAAAAAAAAAAAAATATGATAATATACTTTTTTGAAATTTTATATACTTTTTCTATAAATGTAACTAATTTATCCAAAAATAGAAAAAAAAAAAAAAATTGAACAATATTTAGATTTATTATTAATTGTATAAATTTTGGAAAAATATTCATAGTAACACATTAATATTTCTTAAAGAATGTAATATTATTCATTCCTTTTTTATGTTTTTATTTATATTAAATATATTATTTTTATTTATTTAAAAATTTATACTATATATATTTTTAATTGATTATTATATCTTTATACATTTTTTTTTTTTTTTTTTTTTTTTTTTTAAAAAAAAAAAAAAAAAAAAACCCCAAAAAAAAAAAAAAAAAAAAAACATACTAATATATTTCCTAATAATTAATGTAATAAATATCGTCACTATAATTTTTTTTTTTTTAGAAACGTTTTGAGTATATCTTTTAAGTGCACTTCAAAAAAAAAAAAAAAAAAAAAATATGAAATAAATAAATGCAAAAAATATATGAATGTTTAAGGTTTATAAAAAAACTATTTTTAAAATTAATAAAAGCAAATGAGCAAACCAACTAAACAAAAAAATTATATATTAATTTTTTCACATATCATATGAAAAGTTTTCATTTAAAAATAAAGTAAGAAAAAAAAAAAAAGCTCTTTTTAGATAACAAGCCATGCTTATTTTAATTTATTTATTTTTTTTAATTAAAAATATAAAATTAATTCGTTTATTCACAATAGCATTTATTATGTAAATACATGTACTTTGTATACATAAGGTAATATATATATATATATATATTTTAAATGCAAATATTTATGCATTCACCATTTTGGTTTTTAAAATGGTATGCTTTCTTCAAAATATATATAAAAATAATACAAGTTAAAATTGTTACATTGAACAATGCATGTATATATAAATTTAAATAAAATATAAAAATATTATAAATGATAAAGTAGCAAATAAAAAAAAAAAAATAAATTATATTGAAATAATGGAATTTTTTAAAAAATAAAAAATGTATATGTGAATACACTTACATATGTATATTTATGTACATATGTATATATACATATATATAAAATGTGAACCATATAAAAACAAATAAGAAAAAAAAAAAATTATAAAGCTAAAAATTTATTAATATTTAAAAACTATAATGTTCCAATTTATAGTACATTTTTATACATTTATTTCATTTAATTTTCAATTATATATATGAAAAAAAAAGAAAAAAAAACTGAGCTTAAAACGTTAAAAAATATAAAAAAAAATTATTTGGTTTTATTTGAATTTAATTGTTTATAAAAATGGTACAATTTTTTATTTAACTAAACACAAAAAAATATTACGCATAAAATTCCTTTTTATGTTATTTATTTTATTACTTGAATATACATTATTTTACAAATATAGGATATTATTCCTTTTTAAATTTATCATTGATATTTAAGAGAATAGTAAAAAAAAAAAAAAAAAAAAAAAAAAAAAAAAAAAAAAAAAAAAAAAAAACAAAGTGACTACAGATGATCCAACTACAGTAAAATTGTTGGTCATTTTGATATTAGCAGTGAGGAAGTGAAGCATAATAAAGATCAGGGCTTTCTATCACAACCCAGGGTACAGCTCAGAAAGCAAAACACATTCACGGGTTATGAAATTGGTCACTCATCTGCATTTTTAAAGGAGCTCTGTGCTTAGTGATGTCTGTGGAAAAAAAAAAACAAACCAATAAATAGCCATCACCATGCTCAAGCCCAATTTTAATCAAGTTATCATAGTACATAATAAATGTACATTGCTTATCCTCCAGATACTTATTATTTAATCTATTGAGTATTACAGAGTCTACAGTTTTCATTAAATTCTACACATAGACACAAAGGAATATCCCTGTTTCATACAAATGCAGATAATGAAAGCCATGCAGTGAGCCTTAGCATTAACACAGAATACTTGTTTTTACAACCTTTGATGGTCTTTTTTATCTCTTTTTAATATATTCCCAGAGCCACACATGTACATAAATGTTCAGATAATACATACACATGTATCAATATTATATATTCTCAGAAACATCAAATAATAATAACAGATGGATGAGATACATTCCAAAATTTCCTGCCAAGCCTACTACCCAAATATTACAAGATTCACTTTATTGAAAATTATCTCTACAGATAGTTAACTGCCAAAAAACCCAAGTCTCTGATATACACATACATCCATAAATATTCTTCTTCTTATTATTATTAAAAAAAAAAAAAAAAAAAAAAAAAAAAGAGATATTTACTAAATACATATAATTGTCTTAAATTATGATGAAAATATTATTTATCTCTTTCTTTTTTTTTTTTCTTTTCTCTTTATATTTAAAAGAAAACAAAATATATAATACATGTCTAAGGAGACTAAAAATACGTTATAACTTAATCATAAAAAAAAAAAAAAAAGAGTATTTAAATTTCTATTAATATTTTTTATGCTTACATGAGATGTATTTATGTAAATTCTCCTTAAATATCCACGTACAGCATTTTCTTCTACCATTTTTGTAAGAAATAGTTATTTAAATAAAATGTGAATATTTGTTCATAAATGTTTTCTTTTAATGATAAAAATATTCTGAAACAAAAAAATTGAAAATTTTTGATTATCTAAAAAAAATGTTGAATTTAAGAAATGTTAGTAATACAATTCATTCTTAGTTTAACTTTTTTTCAAAATGAAAAAAAAAAAAAGAAAAATATTTAAATGAAAAAATGAAATTGTGAAAAATTAGAAACGTAAAACGATAAATTTAATTTATTATATAAAAAAAAAAATATTGAGGGTATTACGTTTGCACACAAAAAAAATATGAAAATATTTTCAATATATTTAATATTTATGGAATATAAAATAAACAAAAAAAAAAAAAATTTATTTACATTTGTAAAATAATTATAAACATTTAACAAAATTAAATTTATGAAATAATTTAAAAATGATATACAATAAATTCATACCTTCTCTCATATAAACCAATTGAATTAAATTTTATCGAAGATATTTTTGATTTTTATAAAATAAAGAATAAAAGAAAAAAAAAAAAAAAAAAAAGAAAAAAGAAAAAAAAAATGTAAAATATATATAAAACTTTTTTAATTTTCTTTTTATAAGAACCTTAAAATTAAAGCATATTTAAAACAAAGTTAAATTAGAACATTTATTTATAGAAGGATAAATCATTGCTAATGAGAAACAAAATAAAAATAACTATTTAATTTTTTAAAAAAAAAAAATGTCGTTTTAATGATATTTAACAAAATTTTTGTAAATAATTATCGAAACAATTCATAAATTTTAAAAATTGTAATACTTGTATAAAATGAAAAGAAAAAAATAAGACTTTTTTAATCGATTTTTTTTTTTTTTTTTTTTGGCTTTTCATTGAGTGAAAATAAATAACATTTAAGAATGTCGAATATGTATTATAATTAAAAACGGCTATGCTTTTAAGATTTTATCTAAATAAAAATATTATAGAGGAACTTATAAAATTTTATTGATTCAAAGAAAATTTTGTTTGTTATATTAGTTTTAGTATTCTTAAAAATTTGGGTTTAAACATATTTTAATGAGCATTTTTTCTAGTACATTAATTATTTACAAAGTTAATATTGCTAAAGCTTCATTAAAAAATAATAGTTTATTAGATAATTCTTATAACATAATTAAAAATTTTCAATATGTATCATTTCTTTAACATATATATTTATCCTAAAATTTGAAAATTCATTGAAAAAAAAAAAATATAATAAGTTTTTTCCCCATATTATTCTAAATAAAATTTTAATAAAATTGAATTTAAAATTTTTTTTTTGTTTTCTCTTAAAATCTAAAAAATTTTATGGATAACTTTTAGAATTTTTTTTAATAATGATACATGTTTTAAAATTCTTTTCTTAATTAAAACTAATAAAAAAAAGTTGATTTCTATTAATATTATTTCTATTTTTACAATAATTACTACTTTAGTTTTTACTATGTTATGATTAAAATTATTATTTTATTTATTATTATAATGAGTAATCACATAATCATTACTATAGTTATCACTATTATTATAAGCAGTAATATTATTATTATTTTAGTGAGTACTATTAAAGTGACATACATATTACCGTTATTTATTTTTAATGTAAACTTTTTTTATAATATTGTAAAAAAAGTAAAAAATGTTTATAAAAAGCATATGTATTATTTACCGAAGATATCGTATAAGCATTATAAAAAAAAAAAAATATTATATTATAAAAAGAAATATAATAAAATTCTCTTTTTCCTAAAATTCTCTGAAAACCTAATTGCCATTTTTTTTAATAAAATAACATTTTCTAATTTTTCTTTTTATATAATTTTATATTTAAAAAATATAGACACCTGTGTATAAAATAGTAAATATTTTTATGATTTTTTTTTTTTTTTCTAAAACGTTAATGTAAAATAGTATTTATACTACTTTTTCTTTTTCTTTTTCTTTTTTTTTTCTTTTGGACTTTGGTATATATAAATGTTTTAAAAAAAAAACTTAAGAAAAGCAACTGCTTTATAATATATTTGTCATTTTTCATTTCATCAGCCTAATATTCTATGATTATTTAGAATTTAAAAAAAAAAAAAAAAAAGAGATAAACAATAAATTTCCATTAAAAATTATCATTTTCTAGTGATAAAATAAAAGAAAGAAAAATAAAAAAAATAAGATAAAATATAATGGGTAAGTATGAAAAAAAAAAAATAACAACTATGACTCTTCAAGTATGAAAATTAAATATTTTATTGAAAATCATATTTATGTCTACAATTTTATATATAAATGTGTATAATTGCCTTTTTGATAAAGTGAAATGATTTTGTATATAGAAAATAATATAGATGTGTATTTTAATGAAAAATTAAACTTTAATTAATAGAAACGATATAGATGAAATAATGTTCAAAATTATAAATGAAAATAAAAATTATAATACTTGAAAAAAAAAAAAAATTTCAATTAACTATATGTATATATATTATATTGAGAGAGTAATTTATTTTTTTTATATAATGATATAAAAGCTACTATTATATATATATATATATATATGTATTTTTTTTTTCTTATAAAAGGTAACTATATTTCATGTTGTGAAAAAAAACTTGATGAAATTGATTGTACTGAAGGATTTTTTCAAAAAAGAGATAAAAATGGATTGATTGTAATGAAAACAAATCCATATGATGATCAAAAACTTGGTCCATATGGATTAAGAAAAAAAACTAAAATATTCATGAAATATAATTATCTACATAATTTTATACAATCATTATTTAATGTTATAGACAAAAATACATTAAAAAAAGACATTTTATTAATTTCTAGTGATGGAAGATATTTCTCTGATAAAGCTATTCAGATAATTTGTGAAATCGCTGCTGGTAATGAAATAAGTCATATAATAATTCCTCATAAAGGATTGGCAACTACAGCGTCATGCGATTCTATTATAAAAAATAAATATGAAAAAAATCTTTATACAAATCCTACAAAAAAATGTTTTGCTAGTATAATATTAACAGCGTCTCATAATGCAGGAGGGGAAAATGGAGGTTTTGGTGTAAAAATTAATAGATATAACGATGACACACCAGATGGAGAATTCATACAGAAGTTTTACGAAGAAACATTAAAAATAGATTGTATAAAAAAGAAAAAATTAGACAAAATAAAGTTAGATAAAATAAAAGTAGACCTAGTTGATAACGTAACCATTGAAATTATTAATCCTATAGAAGAGTGGATTAGTATTATAAAAAATGCTTTTGATTTTGATTTAATTAAAAAATTAACAAGCAACAAAAATTTTATTTTTGCATATGATGCATTCCATGGGGTAACTGGGGAATATGCTAAGGAATTATTTATAAATGAATTACAATTAAGTGATAATTTTTTTTTTAATTTAGATAACAAAAGCGATTTCAATAAATTAAAACCTGATCCAAATTTAATATATGCAAAACAGTTGGCTGATATAATGAAAGTAGATATTCAGAAAGAGAAAAAAGAAATGGAAAATTTAGAAGAAATAAATGAAGAAATAAATGAAGAAATAAATGAAGAAATAAATGAAGAAGAAAAACGAAAATTTGATGAGAACAAAGAAATGAAAGATACAAGTGAAATAATACCAGATTTAGCTGGTGTTTGCAGTTCTGATGGAAGTAGATGCATGATATTAGGAAAAAATATTTTTGTCAATCCTTGCGATAACCTAGCTATTATTACTCATTATGCAGAAAAATGTATTCCTTTTTTTAAAAACAATTTTTTGGGTGTAGCCAAATCCTTCCCCACTTCTAAAGCTGTTGACAAAGTTATAGAAAAAATGAACAAAAATATTTATGAAACACCACCAGGATATAAATATTTTATTAATTTAATAAATGATAATAAAATTTCTATTTTTGGAGAGGAATCATTTGGTATAGGAAGTAGTTTAGTTAGAGAAAAAGATGGATTATTTAACATTTTATGTTGGTTATCTATATTAGCATATAAGAACAATGTAGAAAAAAATTACGACAATTCTAATCATTTTATTTCTGTAAAAGATGTTGTTCATGAATTCTGGAAAGAATATGGAAGATTTTATTACATGAGGTATGATTTTGAAAATGTGGAGATAGAAAAATGTGAAGAAATTTTTCAATATTTAAACAAAATCGTTAAAAATGAATTATCTCTTTATGAAACTGTAAAAGAATTAAATACAAGTAATCCTAATCATAGAATAAAAAAAATAGAGACTTTTGTATATATTGATGACACTTCAAAAGAAATATATAATGATGAAGGAATTAAAGTTACATTTGAAAATGAATCTTCAATAATTTATAGAAAATCAAAAGGTGCAATTGAAAAAAATACTATTAGGATATACTTTGAAAAATATGAAAAAGAAAATATTTTTTCAACTAATTATAAGATTCTTGAAAATTTAATTTATATTGGATTAAAAATATGTAAAATAAAGGATTTCATAGGAACAGAAAATCCAACTGTTGTTATATAAAATTGATCTATAGTCAAAAAAAAAAAAAGTTATATTAAAGATTTTCTATTTTAAATTCATATGTTTTTATTTAAATATATTTTTCATTTAAATTAATCTTCATGTATAACATATTTTATTTCTACTTTAACAGTTATACTTTACGTAAATTTTTTTCATTTTGTTTTTTATTTTACTGAAACATACTTTTTATCATTTTATTTTCATTAAATTGTTTTTCATATCTTATTATTATCATAATGTTTTAACATTTCTAGCCTAATTGTAGTTGTAGTATTTTTATTGTTTTATTTTTATATTGTTCTTTTAATTTTTTTTTTTTTTACTTCTTTTTGTTCTATTTTTATTTTTTTTTTATTGTTCAATGAGTATAATATTTTTTTATTAAAAGAATCAATTAAAATAGTCTTTTATAAATAGAAAAGATTTTCACTATTAACTTTTAGATTATAATAACCAATTATAAGTATTTAATAGGTTTATTAATATTAACTTATATTAAGTATAATTTACATATTTTTTGTGAATTCATAAAAATACTTTTTTAAATTTATTTTTATACTTAAGACTTTTTAAAAAAAAAATCTTTTATTTATGAATTATCATACACAAATTATAATATTAAAATAAATGTATTTTTTTTTTTCTTTAATTCATTGTAAACATATATTTATTCAAGATGTATGAATAATAAAAATAATTAAGAAAAATAAGTATATATATATATAAAAAAAAAAAAAAATATATATAAATTAAAATACACTTATAATTTTTCTAAAAACTAATGTAATATTTTAAAAAAAATATTTCAAATTGTTATAAATGTGTGTTGATTCCTATTTAGGTTAATTCTTTTATAAAAATAGACCAATTAAAAAAAAAAAAAAAAAAAAACTTTTTTCTACTATATATACATATATATATTTCTTCATATAATTTAAATATGGAGTAATTATTATATGATTTTTAAAATTGAAGTATGAATATTTATTTTTGTAAATTAACATATTTAAAAATTTTTTTTTTTTATATAGTAAAATAAAAAATTATATATATATAAACCACAAAATAAAAATTTTTCTTTTTTTTTTGATAAAAAATATTTATATTTAATTTTTAGAACAAAAACCTATAATATTCTTCTATATAAATATTTTATGAAATCCTAAATATATATACTTTTTATATATATTGTATTCCTCATCCTTTTATGCTTACTCATTTAAAGGAGATTTCTCATTATCTTTAATATTACTTTTATTATCTATCATTTTTTCATTTTCTGAAGTTTCCTTTTTATTTTCTTGATTTTCTTTTTCATTTTCTGAATCTTCCTCAGATTCTTCCTCATACTGTCTTCTAGAAATTTCTGCATTTCTTCTCTCAACTTCTTCTTGAGTTGGTACATACCTCTCTCTTCCTTTTGGTAATCTTTTTTTACTTCTGTGTTTATTTTTGTTCATCTTATTATAATTATTTTTTTAATTAAAAAAAATATTGATGTTTCTTATAAAGAAAAAGTTTTATATATTTATATAAGAAATAATAAACAAGATACACCAATTGTTTATATTTGAAAGGATATGTAAAATAACGTTATGAACGATTATTAATTATTGGAATAATTCAAATAAAGAATTTAAAAAAAAAATACGTGTATATATATTTATATAATTATTTTTATTATTTTTTTTTTTAACACATTATTAAATTTCTGTTTATACGAATTTATATAAATCTCATTATTCTTTATAATAAAATTTAACTCAGCATATAAATAGTATTATGCAATGTACCCAAAAAATAAAAAAAATGTAATAAAATTTAATAAACTAAGAAAANAAAAAAAAAAAAAAAAAAAAAAAAAAAAAAAAAAAACAGCAATGAATTAATATTATTTTCCAAAAAATAAAATAATTAAATAGAAAAAATGAATTTCTCTTAAATGCAACATTTAATTATTAAAGTAAAATAATATATAAAAATATATAAAANGTCATATAATTTTTTACATACTGTTCATAAAAAAAAAAAAAAAAAAAAAAAAA